AAAACCCTAGCCATAAGCCTAGAGCCAAGAAGAAAACCCCATCAGCTACAATTCCAAACCCTAAACAGCCAAAAACACCTCAACACAACTCCAAAGTCAAGGTGTGTTGGGCTTCCGGACCGGTCTGCCTCCGCCGCCAGACGCAGCTGCCGCAGCAGGGGTTCGTGAAGGAACCTCTTAGATCAAATAACTGTGGATACTGCTCGCAAAAACAATAGAAATCATGTTTGACAAGCATAGCAATAGTTCACTCCTGATGATGAGTTTGATGCTTCGAGGGCCTCAGAAATCCCGAAGCCTCTAGGGCTTAAGGTTCTGGGGCCTCAAGAAATGCTTCGGACTGGCGGCTGGTGTGTTTGAGGGGCTGCTCTAAACCCTAAGCTCAGGGTTGAGGATTTGGGGCTGAGGGCTTAGGGTTTAGGTTGTGAGAACTAACAGGTCCGCAAGTTATGCTGAAGCGGCCTTCCACGCCTTGAGTTGCTAGGGCTTCTGAAGCAGCCGTTATGTTCTTCCATGCATCACAGTTTGAAGGCCTTGAAGGTCCTGCATGCTTTCCAAGGAATATGTGCGACATTACATTATTGAGGGCATCGGGCTTTCTTTGGGGTTCGGGTAGACCGTAAAGTTCAGAACTTGTGCACACGATATTGTGCTCAATCGCCCGTTCTGTTCTGACCTGTGGCTACGGATCGCAGACATTGGACAAGCATCGACCCTGATCGCATGAGCAAACCACACTTTCGGAAGCAGGTGGGGTATCAAGCTAGGATGAGAGCGCAAGGCGCGCTTGCGTAATGTAGGGGCCTGAATAATTAGAATAGGGTTTGGGGTCCTATTACAGTATATTAATTATAAGGAGCCCCCAAGATAGTATTGGTGAGTATTGAAGCCCCTACATCGCAACTCGTTGTTGACAGGAAGTTTGTGAGCCGCCGTCAGCTAGAGCAACTGTTTGCGATGCCGAGACGAAGCAGCGCCTTTCCGACTTTCCGGGTTGGCTAACGTAGGGGCCTTAGTAACTAGAATAGGGTTTTCGTGGTTCCTGGTTATACTTATAGTATCATATACCCCAAACCCTATTCGAATTATTAAGGCCCCTATTTTAGAGGGTTTTTGTAAGGGTTCTGTAAGGACAGCAGACCTCACATCGTACCAAGGATCGCTCTCCGATATAAAGCAAACTACCTTGTCGCTGAATCCTATAGCGCACTTACTAGCCTCCTTCACATCTTTCACCTTAAATCCAAAGCCGTAAATTTCTCAAAAAGAACCTACATTCAACCGTACATCCTAACCTCCTCCGCTGCACCTTTGTGGACGAAGCCGCTCACGAAGCGCCGCGGATGCGACGTCTGTCCCAGGGGGAAAGTCAAAGAGTTTGGGATGCAAGGATTTAGGGTTTAGGGGCGTCGGGATTACGGTCTAGGGGCGTAGGATTGAATGGTTTAGGGGCTCAAGGTTTAGGGGTTTAGGGGTTTCGGGATCTGGGGTCAGGATGTGGGATCCCCTTGATAAATGTGTCTCGGAACCCTGTCGCGCTAAGGACCTACTCTGCCCCTTGATAGGGCTCGTTGATGAAAAAATGCGGGTTCACGAAAGCAAGCATTACCCATTCAAACGCCCAGAGTTCAGGGTACTCTGGTTTATTCCTAACGAAGGACGGTCCATCAAGCCTACAATGTTCAAGCAACAACGCTTCTTGCACTGTTCAAAACTTTAATGTCTGCTTTGGTCTAATAACTGAACTGAGTGGCTATGATAAAGCGTATTATAGCAAGCATTGTATTACCCATCATGTCGCAAACTATTATAAGTGTTGTTCCTACTGCTGCTGCTGCTGCTGTTCTTGCTGCTGCTCTTATCACCATCACCATCATCATGCTGGCTAGGGTTGTTAGTAGTTATTAAGACATATCTTAGCAGCTACGGTTTACCATGTGTGCTGGCGGCCTTGTGCGAGGGCAGCTCTCGAAAGCCGGGTCCTGCACCGCAACAGGAGGGAGGAGGGAGCTGAAGAAACCTAAACGTTAGCTATTATTGTGAGGGTTAGGATTACTTGTTGCGGCGGCTATTATACACGTTCTATAATGGTCTGATGCCGAATATGACGAGGACGAGATCATCATCATCAGCAGCAGCATCATCATCATCATGATGAGGATGATGATGATCATGATGATGATGATGATGATGATGATCATGATGTTCAGCATCATCATCACCAGCAGCAGCGGCAGCAGCGTTGGCAGTGGCAGCTCGCAGTAGCAGCAGTGGCACCAGCAAAATCCGACAGTCAAGGTTTGTCCGTCTGGGGCGACAATGCTTAGAGGGCAAGTTGTAAGGACTAGCAACTATACGTGTTACCATAATAGTTACTATGCTGGTTACTCTGATATTACAATGGTACTCGAACCGCTACTATACTAGTTGTTATTTTGGCGATTTCACTAGCTACTGTGGTGCTTATTGGCCTGAGGGTTGTCTAATGTGCTATTCAGCGCTGCCTACAAGGGATCCAGGAAGTAATTGAAACTTTCCGAACGCGCATGTGCAGCAAACAGTATCAGTATCGGACTCTGTTTAAACCCCTGTACTGTAGGGCCTTATCAATTAGAATAAGGATTTGGGCTCCTTTATACCCAAGACCCTAAAACCCTACGTATTTATTGCAACTCCTATAATAGGGCCCCGAAGTGCCAGTCCCTAGCTAAAGCTCTGCAGCTCGGCAGCCCCGAACCTCCAGGACTCCGATGGCTGCGTCATGGCTCTCCAGTAATGTGGTGGCCCAAATAGTGGACCCCCCCCCCC